GATGTCTCAAAATGAGGTGTCCGTTTTTTCCCTTAAAGTAGCCATTTTGGAACCAAAAACGGACACCTCATTTTGAGACATATCTATCCATATAAAATGTACCTTAATATTTTTCAAGTCAATCAGACGATTTTTTGGGAGAACCAACACAGCAACAACGATTTTGGAAGAAAATCGTTGAATATGGCTAAGTTCCTAAGTAGCTATGTTTCACATATTATACTTAGATGAACATTCACATGTTGCTGACTTATATCTGCTTAGCTCAGCGCTGAACAACAACTTCCCATTGTGAAAATATCATATAGTACAAACCACAAGAAAATGAAAAACTGAAGTTGTTCAAACAATTATGCATCTATACCTTTAAAAGTGTTACTTGTGGTGTAATTGTTTCTCAGTTTGGCGAGCATTGTTTTTCTAGTGGTGTTTTGCTTGCAACATGGCTGTTGCATTTGTTGTACTACATGCGCCCCACTTGATAATTTCATGTTGATGTAGCCACTGTTGGATATAGATTAGCTGCCAAACAGATGAGGTTTTACCTCTGGCCTGTTCAATCTATCCATGGAAAAAATAAATTGATAGAAAAAATCGTTTCTCCGGTTTTGTTCTTACTCTACTTGTGATACTATCTTAACAATATCTTTGTGTGTTAGAGTTTTTTTTAATGAGACTAAGGTTGCCTTAATTTTGAAGTAAACTCTCCAGAAACCAACTAAGGCTGCCACTTGTTTTGCCGTCTCTCCAGGTTAGTGACAAGCCTCAGGATGACGATGGTGCTGGGTTTTTGGAGCTGGGAAAATTTATATACAGCAAAACAACCCACCCAAAAAATAGGAAGAACACAATATCAGATCTATTTTGGGCCATGACCAACTGTAGCAAGTAAGGAATCATCCTTGAAAAAAATACATGTTTTTTTCAATTGTTGTTTTCTGGCTGCCAAAGTCCATTTCATGTTGAACACAAAATTCAATTATGTTTTAATTTGGTTTGGCTAGTTAAGATTATTTAGTTACTCATATAATTCCTATGTATGACTTGTGTCATTGGTTTTGTGTATTTGTAGAAAAAATATTTTTGAGATGTTTTCTAATGATTTTTTATGCATTTCTTATGCATTTCTCATGCACTTCTTATGCACTTCTTATGCACTTTTTATGCACGTTTTATGCACTTTTTAAAAGTGCATAAGAAGTACATGTACTTTGATTTAAAGTACATGCATTTCTTATGCACTTCTTATGCACTTCTAAAAAGTGCATAAAAAGTGCATAAAAAAGTGCATAAGAAGTGCATAAGAAATGCATAAGAAGTGCATAAGAAATGCATAAGAAATGTATAAAAAAAAATGCATATAAAAAATCTGTAATTTTATGAATGGCTCATCAATTTTTATCAGAAAATTTTGAAAACCAGAAGGTTTTACTGAAAGGAAAATGCACAATCAAATCATTACACATATGTGTAAGACTCAATTATTCTCATGTATCATACTGTAGATATATCAAAAAATTGCATAAAGATATAAACCTTGGCTCAGCTCAGGTATCCTAAGTATATAACATATTTGAATACTATTTCACATGTATATCAGGCTTGCTTAATATCATGTACCACAGGTATTTGAAGGAGTCCAAAAGTAAGACTCAACCCGTTCACAAGTAAAGTGCAAAAGAAGTGCAAAAGAAATGCATAAGGAGTGCAAAAGAATTGCATTAAGAAATATATCATTTTTTCTACAAAAACACAAAACCAATGACACAAGTAATACATAGGAATTATATGAGTAACTAAATAATCTTAACTAAACAAACCAAATTAAAACAATAATTGAAAAATAAACTGTTTTTTTTCAAGGATGATTCCTTATTTGCTACAGTTGGTCATGGCCCAAAATAGATCTGATATTGTTTTCTTCCTATTTTTTTGGTGGGCTGTTTTGCTGTATATAAATTTTCCCAGCTCCAAAAACCCAGCACCATCGTCATCCTGAGGCTTGTCACTAACCTGGAGAGGCGGCAAAACAAGTGGCAGCCTTAGTTGGTTTCTGGAGAGTTTATTTCAAAAAAATAAGGCAGCCTTAGTCTCATAAAAAAAAAACTCTAACACACAAAGATATTGTTGAGATAGTATCACAAGTAGAGTAAGAACAAAACCGGAGAAACGAATTTTTCTATCAAATTATTTTATTCCATGGATAGATTGAACAGGCCAGAGGCACATGTAGTACAATAAATGCAACAACCATGTTGCAAGCAAAACACCACAGAAAAACAATGAGCGTCAAACTGAGAAGCAATTACACCACAAGTACTCCACAAGTAACACGTTCAAAGCATTTCAAAGATATAAATGGGAAAGTCTCAAAATAGGAGTGCCCCAAGTTCATTAAATAAGAATGGTTTGGGGCACTTGGTTATGGCACCCCTTTTCTGAGACATTCCCTAATGCATAATTGTTTGAACAACGTAAGTTTTTCATTTTCTTGTGGTTTGTACTATATGATATTTTCACAATGGGAAGTTGTTGTTCAGCGCTGAGCTAAGCAGATATAAGTCAGCAACATGTGAATTTTCATCTAAATATAATATGTGAAACATAGCTACTTAGGAACTTAGCCATATTCAACGATTTTCTTTCAAAATCGTTGTTGCTGTGTTGGTTCTCCCAAAAAAATCGTCTGACTGACTTGAAAAACATGGTTGTAAAAAATATATGTAGAAATTACTGGTGAGGTCAAAACTAAACAAGTTCCATTCACATGTGGAAATTACTCGTGAAGTGAAAACTAAACCATAACACCTACATGTGAAAATTTCATAAAAATACTTGTGGTGTTAAAACCCAAGAAAAAACACCTACATGTGAAATTTACGAGTGCTATTGAACCCCCACAATAGCACTTACAATTGAAAATTACCTGTGGGATTCAAACTAAACAATGACACTTACATGTGGAAATAGATTGTGAGGTTAAAAGCAAACAATGACGCTTACATGCGAAAGTTACTTGTGAGGTGGAAGCCAAACAATGACTAGAAATTATCAAATGCATTGTACATGTGATGACTTGCCTTCATCTCTATCTTATCTTAGTAATCATCTCTGGCTGTGGAAACAAAAGTGACTATTGGGGACAAAGCAGAATTTGAGCTTGGAACAAAAAGAATGCTGCATTACTTGTGAAAACCATTTACTTGGGCAAGATAAAACACATTCAAAGCAAGCCAATTTCTACTTGTGTCACATGAAAACAATACAAAAACAAATGAAAAAAAATATTTCTTTCAAACATGGTCAACATGATCCCAAAAAAAGGTATGCACTTTATATGCGTTTCTTATGCGTTTCTTGTGCGTTTCTATTTTTTTTCAAAAAAATACTTGGCTAGTAAATTGATTTACTTTACCAGGCAAAAGTAAATTTTACTAGTAAAAAATCCAAGTAAAGTAAAACATCAAAAAAACTAAAATCACTAGATTTCAAGACTCAGGGTGAATGAATGAAAGAATGGATGAATGAATGAATGAATGAATGAGTGAATATGAATGAATGAATATGAACGTTGACCTCCTACGCTTGGACAAAACAGCTCACAACCAGCGTCAAACACTAGTTGCTTCGCACAAACCGCGGTCACGAGCAACTTGCGCACACCAATCTTCGTTGCATAGTGATGGACACTGCTGCTTGCTGTTGCTGGGCAGAATCTCTGCACGCGTGCTTGCCCATGGACAAGACAAACTCGCATGTCACAATATGGTTAGGCCGACACGCACGAACTCCGCAGTGGGTCATATTTCGACGGACGGGGCTGCCCCTTCCGCCATAAGACAGAAAAGGAACAAGATCGAGATTGCAGATGTTGTGTGAATTTTTTGCAGGAGCTCAATAGAAGCTGATCGCCTACAAGTCAAGTCCTGCGACAATGACATTGTATTTAGATGTCTTGTAAGAGACAATAGAAGTTAACCACCTGTACATGATGTGGGTGACGCAGGTGATGTAATTAGCTGGGAGCTGGTGTAAGTGACGCAGATGTTGTACATAGATGATGTAGATGTTGTAGCTGATGCAGACGATGTAGGCCATGTAGGCGATGTAGGTGATGTAGAAGGTTTTGTAGATGAAGTCAGAAGTAGGTGAAACTGGCCGCAAGTCTTCGGGAGAAAATCTCGTATGAGCTTCCGATAAATACGGGGTTAAGCGCGCACATGTTTACACATTTCTCGGTATTGCTGAAAATCTCACGGAGTCCTTTTAATCGCATACGCCTGTAAACATACATTGACAGATACACAAATTTCTTTTGCGCATGCACCTACCTACATGCATGTGTTTTTGAATCTATTTGCGCACATACACGCTAATAACTCTTCAATAATACCTGAAAGAACAAATGAAAAAGAACACAAGAGATGAAACGCCTTGTGTGAGTGTACCTTGAATGAACGCACACACCTGTACATAAATATATATGTTTCTATACTTATTTACTTATTTATTTATTTTTATGGGAAACAGTAACGGTCTATAATATTTGAATAAAAATATATTACAGGCATATGTATAGAATGTTCATGTAGATACATATGTGTGGACGTTGTTTCAAAGAATGTAAATACGCATATTTGCAAATGTATGTATATGCATGTACACGCCTGCGAAGAAAAAGCGTGGGCGCTTGGCGATGGCGTGTATTCTTTGGCCCCAAGGCAACTTCCGGTACTGCTAGTATGCACAAAAGAAACCTTTATCCACCAACCAAAATCGCATCGTATGGTAGCAATATTCTTGTCAAGCCACAAAAGCTCAGCAGCAGAAGCCACAATCTGAACCGCAGACGCCGGGCCCACGAGCCCAAACCCGCACTTCAATTTTGAAAGGCTGAGTTGGCTGAGCTGCCTGAACTTACAAACTTAAGAGTCGCACAACCCGCATTTGCTGCGGGTTGGACCTGCCTTCCAAGCATGCTAATCTCAAGTCCAAGTTTCATGGAGGCCAAGATTTGCTGCCCTTTCCGCCAATGCTCTCTGCAAGCGTCAATGGCAGCGCTACAAGCAATGATACCTTGAATCGCGATTCAAAACGGAAAGGGGGCTTGGTGAGTTGAAGAAGACACTTGCAATGAATAAGATCAACTTACTGCCACAAACCAAAACAGAAACGCTTCCCCTGGGCGCAGACAAGCGTAGCCGCTGCTGAACGGCTGCTTCTACACAGGATGAAGGTAACCATCAAAGATCACCAACAGGTTGTAAACTTGAATTGGCGGAACAAGATAAAAGAAAGATCCATAAGCCATGGGCGGCTTCGAACATCGTGATTGTGCCTCAGAAAGCTGCATTTTTTCACCAAGCCCTGCCACTGATGTCAACTCCAGTATCAAATGTCTCATTCCTGATGAGATTAGGATTGAGCTGCGATTCACTTTTCCAGGCGCAAAACCACAGCAGGCCCACAACGAACTGCTGCCCAGGCCACTGCATCGAAGGTTGGACTTCAACAGAAGTTGCAACGCCTTTCCCGCATGGCCCCTATGTTGAAGGGCTAGGTAAATGGTGAATGGTCGGTTGTGGTCGTTTACGGGGCCCCCGTGTGTGCACAAAGATGTTTCATACCAGCTGAACCACACAAAGAATTTTGCTCACGCTCGCCGCACTTATCCGATGTTCTCATCGCAAAGATGCCGTCATTGATTTTTTAAATTGGGAATATACGTACGTATAGAAAGGGCACAGATAGATGAATGAATTTGCTGTAAATGGATCGGATGTGACTGGTTCTGAATTGGAAGTCAAAGATGCGAGATGAGGTGGGCTTACAAAGAAGGGAAAGAGTGCGGCGCTCAATGGGTGTGAAGTGGATGCGAGGTTGAGTGGACGTCGAGTGGATGGGAGGCTGGGTCAACTTGGGTTGAGCAGGTGTGAGTTTGAATGGGTGTGAAACTGGAAATTTTGAGGCTGCGCATTTTTCCGCCAATCTCCTGTGCCTTGCAGGCATCTACATAAGCAGTGAGGATTGCGTTGACAAAAGGTTGCCAGCCAATTTGGTTTCCAGTGGCACGCCGATCTGCGTTTTGAACGGCCTCACAATTCAATCAAGAGGAGCTTGAATAAGCACGGACCAAAATGCAACTTTGTTACGGGGTCTAAGACACATTGGAAAGGCACTTAGCTTGATTAGTCCGAATGCACCACCATGTTTTGCAGCTTTGTTTTCGATGGTTTGAAGAAAAAAAACGTGACAAAAGCAGATTCAAACAAAACAAAATCTTGCAATGAGACGGCCGAAGCTTTCTTCAGAAGAAAGAACACTATCGAAAAAACCTTGGCCAGAAACATGAAGAAAGCCCATGGGGTCCAATCTGCTGTGACCATCCAATAGGATAAAATGCAAGGTGTAGCCACATCGGACATCTTCCGTTTTCAGGAAAATTCGACACTATACATATTGGACGGGGCACACGATGTTCCACGTGCTTGAAGGCACGAATGAGGTTGGACGACTGTGGGGTCAAGGGGGCGCGGTGTGAGCGGACAGTGTCACTCTGTAACTCGGAGTCTCTGTTTGAAACTGCTTTGTTCAAAATCCAGGCTGCGCCATTGATGGCGAAAGTGTTCCTTGAATGAGCCACATCAACAGGCCCAAGACCTTCTCCCAAGCAGAGCCGCGTTCACAAGCACTGCCCGCAGCATTGAAGGCGGCGCAGTCCTTCAATGTTTTTCCCTACACCAAGAGCTTCAACAAGACCCGCCAACTAAAAAATTCAACTGTGATTTGCGATTTCTGGGCCGTGTCCCAAAAGCGCAAAGGTCCCAACATGTCACCAGATAGTTGCCCCACCATCAGCACGCAGATACTACTGTTGAGCAGCCAAGCTGCCTTACAGTATGTCTTCTCACTGGATTGCGTAGTATGCCATGTTGTGCGGAGCACGCATGCTTTCCAGTCTTGCACTTGTGTATGTTGTGCTCTGTTGCGCGCCGCGGGTGGCATTTCGAATAATAAAAGGACCGGATAAACCCACATGTCAAGCCTTTATGTATCTAAGGTTAATGTGAACTTCGGGGAGGTGTGAGAAGTGAGGTGTGAGAAGTGGACTTGTGATGTCAGGTGTGAGAGGTGGAGCTGTGATGAGTTCTGATGTGATAAGTGAGGTGTGAGAAGTGGAACTGTGATGAGTTGGGATGTGACAAGTTGTGATGAGTTGTGATGAGTTGTGATGAGTTGTGATGAGTTGTGATGAGTTGTGATGAGTTGTGATGAGAAGTTGTGATGTGATAGGTGAGGTGTGAGAAGTGGAACTGTGATGAGTTGGGATGTGATAAGTTGTGATGAGTTGTGATGAGTTGTGATGAGAAGTTGCGATGTGATAAGTGGAGCTTTGATGAGTGGTGATGATAAGTCTACGACGGCGGAGGCGGGAACAGGAACGGCGGGATCCAAGTGAAAAACAAGAGCCCGACGCATGATACATGCAGCACACGAGCTCTTTTTCAAGAGAGGCCGCGCAAGTTCAAGCGTCATAATTTTGTGCAGTGTAGAGCACCTGGCACAGGTGATGAGGTAAAAGAAATATGAAATGAACTGTGACCGAAAGTAGCGGAGTGATACACTGTCGTCTGTATGTTCCCTGTTAAACGTAAAGGTTGAACAAAAGTGTTTCCCAAATTGATTCACAGGTTGGCGGTTTGAACCGCTCTGAATAATATGATTCAGTTTGGGTTGCTATTCCCATGCCAATGTTCACATAACTGTTGAAGAAAGGAATGCTAGGTCAACAGAAAAACTCCTGCACACCAGATCTGAGCCATCAGCAGTGAGAAGCACGATGATGTCAACCAGCTGCGGACACGTAGAGTTAGCTATCACAAAGCAGCTTTGCAACCCATAACTGTCTCATGTGTGCAATACACAATGAAGAGGCACCGACACGACGGCATCTGACGGCATCTTTGCTGTATCAGCAGTACTCAGTTTCATCGTTTGCTGTGATCTACTTCTGTACCTATGTTCCGAGGTAGTAACAAGGCCCGCAGAGGTCCACATAAAAGCTCCTGCATGCCAGATCTGATCCATCAGAAAGGATAAGAACGAAATGACTGCTTGTGTTTCTACCAATAACAACGCCTGCATGGGTCAACCAAAAAAACCATGCATGCCAGAGCTGATCCATCAGCACGGTGAAGCACGAAATGACTGCTTGTGTGTCACAAGAAATTCTTGCAGTAGTCACCGCGTGCAAAGAACTCTCCGATCCTTTTTTAGCACAACTGCATCGGACGACGTGCGTCGCCCAAGTACACACAATGCAAAAGGCAAGAATGCCATAGCAATTCCACCAAAACATCCCCAAGCTAAGCCCGCTTGCTCCTTGCAATCAGAACGTCTGTGTTCAAATGCATGTACAGCATCATCATTGCCTGTCAGAAAGGGAATGGAAAACAAATACGCAATGACAACTTCGCGACACATTGACGCATCATCTGCTGGCCTGTGCCTGTCAAACATTGCTTGACCTGAAAGTTCAATGACAATAACATATCTGCTGGGAGCAATGTGCTATCTACACGACAGACTTCAAATGCAAAAGAAAAATGACAGAAAATCAATGCAATTTTTCCGTCCCATCTTCGGACTTCAAACTTATTGTACTGTACAACAACTTCTTCAGCTCGCACTAGACAAGAACGTTTTTTTCCATGAACGATCAGGGCATGCTCTGAACAATTCGACAGGGCATGCTGTGAACAATTCGTGACACAGAGCCAGCACGTCCGAAGAGAGACGGCGCTTTCAATCCTTTCTGTTGACTCGCACCACAACACACTGACCCAAGAGTATTGCCAACAAGGACACAAGGGCTGGATCCATCGTAAACACTCACGATGAACAGGTTTGTATATAAATAGTAAAGTCGACTGGTGCAAGACCTTGAAACAGTCACGCGTCATCATCAAAATTGCAGGCGATATTGTCACACCGACTCATCACCACGACTTGGGTGCTACATCCAAAAGAAGTCTACAAAGTCAAGAAGCCATGAACGCGTCGCCCTGCCAAGCGGCGCTGTCACGTTCCTCTTGCGGTAAGCCGTCTCGCATGCCACGAAGGCGCTTCAACGGAGTGATCCAATCCTTGTCAAACTTGAAACCTTCCTCCTGAGATTCAGTGATGCTGATGTGCTTCCAAAAGCTCGTCACAGCCGGCACCTGTTCCGCTGCGACCGGCACATGCCACAAGACGGAATATTCACCCAGAGTCTCCGTCTGACCAAGCACGACTTGAAAGACTTGACCAGGCTGGGCTCGGAGCATCCAGTTGACCGCCGAAGCAGGACCGGCACAGCGTAGCTTGACTCGATGCACGGCCTCTGTCCCCTCCGCGGTCTCGGACAAGACACAATCCACCGATCGCTTGACACGGATGGCCGACGCCGTGTTGGGGTCTTGTTGCAAAGCCTCATCATCTGCGAGATTCACATCATTGAACGCCACCAAAGCACGTAGCGTGTTGGCATCGATGTGGCCAAAAGCAAACATCCCGAGATCCTTTTCCTCTGTCACACCACGAAGAGCCACCACGGGACATCCTGCGCGTAGATGGTGATGTGGAACCTTGCGTTGCAATTTTTCAGAACAGTCAGGAACAAAGGCGCCACCGGCCACCAAACAAGGCTCCATGTAGCGGAGATCAAGTTCCATCACCTCTTGGTATTCGTTGTCACGAAAGGTGAAGCGGCACAACCACTGCGCGCTCCGAAACATGTCACGAATGGTGATCCGGAACGCTGCCGTGTCCTGCAGAGGTTCACCCAAAGCCACGCTCCGGCTGCTCCGTCGAAGGGCAAGGGCGGCTTGCAAAGCCACGATGGATATGCCGGCACTGGCCAGTAACTTCTTGGCATCCTCCACCGCTTCAGCTTTCAAAGTTCTTCTAGGACCACTGTAAGTATGTCCACTCTTCTTGAAATGCGCACGGAAAGTGCCTCTACGTCCTTCAATGTATTGTTCTGCCCGTGTTGCTTTGGTCTCAGGAAGCTCACCGTGCAACTGTGCGACAGCTCTACGCATGTCAGCGGGTCCGCTTCGGCCGCTGCCAAGCAACCTCGCCACGGACCATGATGCCGCGAGCCAGCGACTTGAATCCTGGCTCGAAAAGAGGCGCCGCGACTTTGCACGGGCATGGCTCTTCTAAGCGATATGTCAAAATGAATCTGTTGGTGTTTAGGAATTCATATGCCAACTTGCATGTCATGCTTGTGGAAACTCGTTCTGTCAAATACAACTTCTTATCTCCCAATCGCAAGCTCTTGGCCGATGTCTCTGTGTATATTAACGAAGTATGTCACGTGACTGCGTGAAATCAACAGCGAAAAGTCACGCCGAACTTTGCTGATGCCTTTGTTTATGTATCGAAATATCTATTCGTATATATCTATATGTAATATATATATAGTGTTCATACATAACAGCAACACACCAGAATGTCTATATATATATAATATCTATCTATCTAGAGACTATTCAAACATAACAACGAAGTCTGTCACGTAACTGCCTGAAATCAACAAATCCTCACACCGACCCACTGCCGAAAGCGACAGAGAACAGTGCTAAAAGCTGCAAAAAGCATCGCATACAGATGATGAATCACGCTTTGGCCGTGTGCAAAGCATTCGGACTCAGTGACTTATGTCTCAGGTGCTGACCTCAAAACATGGAGCATCTGTCTGCAGCCAGCCGCCTGACACCGACCCACTGCCGAAAGCGACAGCAAACAATGCTAAAAGCTACGAAAAGTATCGCGCACAGACGATGAATCGCACAATGCCGTGTGCAAGCATTCGGACTCACTGATTGTCAGTCTCAGGTGCTGACCTCAAAACATGGAGCATCGGCCTGCAGCCAGCCGCGAAAGACACAAGGACCAAGTATGCAAACATCACCCATGTGTCCCAAAAATTCACATGCAAAGATTGACTCAGGTCCAAGCTCACGAGCAACAATGAACGCGTGGAGAAGCGACAATGACTACCAACCGAAGCGGCCAACATGCGACAAAGACTTACTGAGCTCCAAACCTTGCAGACAGCGTCATGATAGCGCAGACCGAAACCGAAATAGCTGCAACACCAGCGAAGTACCATGAAGTACCGAAACCGATAAGGAAAAGAGACAGACAGAGAAAGGCAAGAAGAAGGGAGGAGGCTCTGTGTACTGAGCCAGCCACGCGACAGCCACGCGAAGCCACGCGAAAGCCAACCGCGGGCCAGCGGCGCCCACGCGCGCCGCAGCTCCTCCAGGAGGCTCTGTGTACTGCGCCTGCCACGCAAAAGGCAGCCAGGAAGCTCTCTGTACTGCGCCTGCCACGCGAAAGCGAGCCGCGGGCTAGCCTGCCCTCAATCTCTCCGCAGCGACCTTGCCGGCACTTTTGGCAGCCGTCCGGCTCCCCAGCGCACGACTTTGGCCATCTGCCGGGCGCTTGGTTGGAGCTTCTCTAGTGGCTTCCGAAAGCAACGTTAGGCCCTAGCCTGCCCTCAAACCCTCCGCAGCGCCCTTGCTGGCAATTGTGGCAGCCGTCCGGCTCCCCAGCGCACGGCTTTGGCCATCTGCCGGGCGCTTGGCTGGAGCTTCACTAGTGGCTTCAGAAAGCAACGTTAGGCACTAGCCTGCCCTCAAACCCTCCGCAGCGCCCTGGCTGGAACTTTT